AATTTGGAAGCTGCCAGATCAGACTCCAGTTTTACACTCAGGCAAGCGGGCTACCTAGACAGGAGTGAGTGCCGTAGCTCTATTGGTAGATACAGCAATACCCCACTGAAATATCCAAAGGCTGGATTGCACACGAATCTTGGGAAGTTCCTGGAAGGAACTGAGGTAGGTGGACACTAAGGGGAGAAAGGCTGCTAGATAACAAACCACTCCTTCCAGAAGGTGTTCCTTGTTCTCTGGACAGCAGTGACACTACCTGTGCCTGGCTTTGCAACAGCCACTGGTGCTTTGTAGTTCATGGAGAGGGACGGGGCAAATAAGGGCAGAAGCTGCTGTGTGCCGCTGCAGTGATAAACTGGGGTCATGCTGTAAGACAACTCCAAACAAACTAGTGCCAACTGCATGTGGAGAATGGCCATTTGTCTGGCATCCAGAAAAGCACAACAAAACTCCTGTACTGACAAGCTGCCCTTTAGAACTAGCGCAGATCCTTCCGGAGCTGCATGTACTTCAACAGCAGGAATCTGCCAAGCCCTAAACATTCGCTCCCAGGGACTGGAGTCGTGAGTGCACGTGTCACTTTGGAGTATTTTAGGGTAACACGTCACAACTTCAGCCCATTACTGCAGTTGAAACAAGGCATGTTTGCACAGCTTTATTTTTTTTTTTCTTTTTTTTTTTAATTGGTGACTAGCTTAGCTGGAGACATGTGCAGGACTGCTGCTGCTTTTTGCCATTTTTGCTTAAGGCAATAGCAGAGCAATCTGCATGCGATTAACAGACTGGAAAAGAATAGCCAGAATTTTAGGCACTCTCTTCCCCCCTGGCAACTCCACTCCACTAGTGCAAATATTTCATGACCATTTAGGATGACTGTGGAACCATTTGTGAGTTTGGAGGTGATTGTGTGTTTATATATTATTTTTTAACTCCGAAATAAAGCCTAAACCAAACAGGAGTATAAAGTTGTGCTGCACCTAAACTTTCTGGTGCCTTTGCTAGGCAGATCTCCTTGACGTGCAGGAGGTAGGAAGTGCTTGGCTTTCTCTTTTCTTTTTAAAATTATTTAACCATAAGTCTCACTTCCCCAAAGTCTCTCAAGAGAAAACATCCTGCGTTTTCCGACAGCCCTCATCCTGCAACCAGCATAGGATAAACATGCTGAGAACTTGCCTTTCTGAAGCACTGTTTGTGTCTCCATGGATAGTTTTACTGCACAGAGAGATCACACACACTTTTAGTGACATCTACATGCAGAGATGCCAGAGCCCCACCTTGCACACCTCACTGCTCAGGTACACTGGGAACTGCATGCTTCATTCAGGTTTAATTTCACAATGGAAATGTTTCATTTTCCTTTAAACGGCTCTTTGAAACAGCATGTATTATGGGATTTCAGTGCTCTGTTGCTTTTGTATTGCTTGCTTCACTCAATGCAAAAACTTTTGTCCCGAAGTGCCTGTTTTTCTCTCCCTGAAGATGCAGAGGCTACAAAACTATTTCAGTAACATGCAATAACTAAATAGAAATTTAATGTTTGCAGTTTAATCTACAACATCTAACCCCATCAGCTTTTGTACACCCAGTCAGATAACCTGGGGACAGTACAGGTTTAACAGCACCTGAAGCTTCACTGCAAGACACAAACAAGAAGGATGTGCCCATCTTGTGGTGCTTTCATCTGTATCCTCCTCTGCATTCACTGGGTTTCCCCTCTGCACCTTCCAGCACCCCTTATGGGCCAGTGCTGCGGCAGGTCTGGCAAGGCCCTGGCCCTTGGCATCACACCCAGGTTTGAAGTTTGCTCTGTCCTGTGTCCCAGACCCCATTTAATCCCCAGCCCTCTGAGATGGGGGCAGCCACCCTGGGGCAGGTGTGGGGGTCGCAGTGCTGGGGGACATCATGGCACACAGCCTGCAGTGGCATGAGGCTCCTCAGGCCACAGCAGGGTCAGTTCACGAACCCTCTCACTAAAATGCACTATTTGAGTGTTTCTCCCTTTAACAGCCTTGTGTAGTGTTGCCCTAAAACTACACCAGTAGTTTTCCAAAACTAGGTTGTTTAGCCTACGAGAGGCTCAGGGGTGACCTTATTGCTCTCTACAACCACCTGCAAGGAAGGTGTAGCCAGGCGGGAGATGGCTTCTTCTCCCAGGAAGTCAGCGACAGGACAAGAGGACACAGTCTTCAGCTGTGCCACGGGAGGTTTAAAGTTGGACACTAGGAGGAATTTCTTCACAGAAAGGGTGATTAGACACTGGAATGGGCTGCCCAGGGAGGCGGTGGAGTCACTGTCCCTGGAGGTGTTTAAGGAACGACTGGATGTGGCACATGGTCTAATTGACAGGGTGATGTTTGGTCGTAGGTTGGACCTGATGATCGCAGAGGTCAAACCGATTGATTCCGCCCCTCCGTTTGGGAAACGCGGGTTCGGTCGGGACTCGCCGAAAGGCGCCGCCCGGGCCCTCTCCTGGCCCGCGGGAAGCGGCCACGCGCTGCACTGCCTTTTCCAACGCGAGAGAATTACTAAAAAAAAAAAACAAATCGCCCTAAACCTGGGCATGGGGAGAGCGCAGCCCAGGCTGCACACAACCCCCACCGCCCCTCACAGGGAGGGCGGCCCGCCCGGCTCGGCCGGCCCCCGGGAGCTCGGCGCGGGAAGCGGCGCCCACAGGCGCCCCGTGCAGGCCGGGCCCTGCCCCCTGGCGGCCTCCGCGCCCGGCGCGCCGCGGTAACAGCGGCCGGGCGGCCGTGAGGGCCCCCGAGCGCCGGGAAATGGCTACGGGATTGCGGCTCAAAACACCACTGAGAGGGGCCGCATTCATGTGTGTAAACAGCTAAAGGGGGTGTGAAGAGGATACAGCCAGGCTCTTCTCGGTGGTGCCAAGCAATAGGGCGTGAGGCAGTGGGCAGATACTGATACACGGGAAATTCCACCTGGAACAGATTGTCCAGAGAGGTTGTGGGGTCTCCCTCTCTGGAGATGTTAAAGAATCATCTGGACACAATCCTGTGTCAGGTGCTCTAGGATGATCCTACTTGAGCAGGGAGACTGGACCAGATGACCCTCCGTGGTCCTCTTCAGCATGACCCATGCTGTGATTTAATACACAGTACATACACCATGCCCTCCTAGCAGGGCCTGAGAGCAGCATTATGGAGGGCAGGAAGGCTGGGTGTGGGAAAGGAGGAAACCCAGGTACGGGGGTGAGGCTGTGGAGCTACTGCCCTTGCACTGCATGCCTCCTGCGAGGAAGGTTTATGGGAATTCACTCAAGTATCAAGGGAGGTCTATGCTAATTCACTCAAATATCAAGGGAAACTGCTACGGTGGTTTTCCCAGGATGAGGCTCTATTCTTCAGCACTGTTGCTGGGTGTGCTAACCCCTTGATTTCCCTAAATACTGGGAATTTGGCTATATCATTTGCAGTAGTAAAAGCCTGTTTATGTTTTCCTGTTATCTTTTAATACAATTTTACTCATTTGTAGACTTGAAAGTGTGATTGTTCAAACCACTGCGGCAAACCTAGTCTCACAAACTGATGTTAACTAATTTATACAGAAGTTTGACCCAAAAATTTAAAATTAAAGTACAGGTATCCCTATACTGGGCTCTCTGGTGGGGAAAACAGGACAGTCGGTTCCCTGCTCTGGCTGCAGGTACTGTGTGGCCTCAGGAAAGTTATGACTTGGTCTCTTTTTCTTAAATCAGGTTTGGGGCAGGAGATTGTTTGGTAAATGGTTTGTACCTTGAGCACTGTTATTAAAAAAAATAGTAACGTTAAAGGGGTAGGAAGGGACCTTAAAGACCATCCAGTCCCACCCCCCCTGCAACAGGCAGAGACACCTCCCACTGGATCAGAGCTGCATCCCAACTGGCCTTTAACATTTCCAGGGATGGGGCATCCAGAACTTCTCTGAGTAACCTGTTGCAGTATCTCACCACCCTCACAGTAAACAATTTCTTCCTAATATCTATACTAAATTTCCTCTCTTTCCATTTGACCCCTTTACTCCTTCTAATACTGTGGGCTCTAGCCCAAGCATGGGCTCATAAGGCCAGTTTATATCCATTCCTTAGACACCAGCCTGAGCATGGGATCAGGCACATGGTGTCCCCAAAAGGCAGCTCTCCTCTGGATGCACAGTTTCCCTTGTTTGGACCAAGACCAAACCCATGGACACAGGCCGGCAAGGTTCAGTGGCCAGCCTGAGACAGCTGGAGACATTGTGACCCATGCAGCCTGGAAGAGGGGAACAAGGAACAAGGAAGGGGGCCAAGTCCCTGCTTTCTTCTCCTGGGATCAACTGCCTCAGCTCCCCTTCCCTTCCAGATGGGTCTCTGCCATCACTGGGCAGGGCAGGGCAGGCTCAAACAATCATAGACTTGTTAGGGTTGGAAGGGACCGCTGGAGATTTTCGAGTCCAACCCCATAGCAAGGCAGTCACCTCGAGCAGGTGACACAAGAACACGTCCAGGTGGGTTTTTAATGTCTACAGACAGCTAAAATCCACGACCTCCTCAGTCAGCCTGTTCCAGTGCTCTGCCACCTTCAACGTAAAGTTCTTCCTCACATTGAGATGCAACTTCTTATGCTTTCAGTTACAGACACTGCTCCTCGCTGTCTCACAGGGCACCACTGAAAAAAGTCTGGCACCATCCTCTTGGCACCTGCCTTTAAGATATTTGCACGCATTAGCGAGGTCCCCTCTGTCTTCTCGGGCGCCATTTCGGCAGGCCCGGGCCCGCTCCCGTCGCTTCCCGGGCCGGGCGGCGGCAGAGGGCGCTGGCCGGGGCGGCGGGAGGAGGCCGCCAGCCGCAGCCTTATCAGCGCGCCGCAGGCCGGGCCGGGCCCGCGCGGTCGCGGGTTCCCGGCCGCCGGCCCATGGGCGGCGGCGGCGGCTCGGAGGCGCCTCCTCCTCCTCCTCCTCCTCCCGCCGCAGACCCGCGCGGCGGGGACCTGCGACCGCAGCAGCAGCTCGGGTGCCGCGCCGGCCGCATGGCGGGCTACGCGCCGCGCCTGCCCTGGCTGCTGCCGCTGCTGCGCCGGGCGGCGCCGCCCCCCTGGGCTCGGGCGGCCGCCGGGCTCCGCGCCCCGCCGCTCCCGCCCGGCAGGTGCGGAGCGCACCCCGCGCCGCCGCCGCTGCCGCTGCCGCCGCTGCCGCCGAGATCCCCGTCCTACCGCCGCCGCCTCCTCCCCGCCGCGGCGGCGGCAGCGGCGGGCGGCGCCCCGCGTTCCCTGAGCAGCGCGGCGGGCACGGAGCCGCCGCGAGGGGCTGCGGGCGCTCCGCCGCGCTTCGAGGCTCGCAGGCTACTGGCCCTGGCGCACCCCGAGCGCCGGAGACTGACAGGTACCGGGGCCGCCCCGGGGCTTTGCCCGAGCGGGAGGGGGCGGCGGGCGCCCCGCCCGGAGGGGCTGCCGGGGCCGGGCTGCGCGGCCGGGCTGCGCCCCCAGAGCGGACGCCGCCGGGGCGAAGGAGGAGGTCGTGCTTCCCTGGAGAACCGGCCCTGCTGGCGGCATCCCAGCACAGCGCGGAGTCTTGGAGCGAGCCTTCAATACATGTGAAAAGCTAAAAACATACATTCTGTCCCCTCTTCTCACTTTGCCATCTCTTAATCTGTTCGTTTTTGAAGGGAAGGCAAAAGTTTTGGAAGTTAAAAGAACTCGGTTCTGTTTAATGCCTCTGTGCATGTTCAGCGCTGGCCTCACAATCTCCCTGCGATAAAATTGGGCACAAGACTACGTGAAATTAAGTAAAAAGGGGAACCTGATGAGTTTAATTTTTAAAAATAAATTGGAATTCTCTCCCTCAAGAAATTTTTACTTAAAACTTTTGTAAGGTGTTTTCATGTTTTAGTAAGATATCTAGTGCCTGTGCGGTGAAACCAAAACACTGTGGCTGTGTTAACACTGATATTTTCAGCATAGTATCAATGAACTTTTCCTGACATTTCTTCTCATGGGTTAAAATGATAATAGCTGTTGGTAAGAAAACAATGTCAAATTATTATATGTTTTGGGTTTTTTAAGGTATCTCTGTTGGCAGACAATATGTGCACTGTCTCATGAGTGAGAGGCCTGTAGTCCTCTGTAAAAATATAGGTAGTTCCTATGGACTGAGTAAATGGTGTTTGAGAGGTGAGGTAGTTAGACATATAAAGAGGTGGTTTGTGGAATGAAAAATACTTTGCACAAAATTTTATTCACACTGGATATTTACAGAGTTTCATTACATGTTGGTACTATGTAGCCAACATATAATTTGGATCCAAATGAATGTTTATAGATTTTGGGCTACCTGCTGGTTTTACAATGAAGTTTTAAAAGCCTGTGGTTTTCCCATTTAAATTTAATCAAGTAAATAAATCAGTTATTTTAAGGCTGGCTTTTAGGACCCTAGGCTTCTGTAGAACTGAAAATTTAATTTAGTGCACTTTCCTGGGCACTCGCTGCCAGCTTGTTTATCACAGGCAGGGTTACGGTATGCTTGTTTGTAATTATGTTTTGAAATAGAGAAAAGTATCCTTAGTCTGTGCAGTCTGCTGATGGTTTTATCAAGTAATCAGCTATCACAGTTGCTAAAAACATGCAGTTTTGTCTTTTAAGATAACAAAATGGCTTGAATTAAAGTTTAAAAAAACCCTAACACAACAAGTTGATCATATCAAGTCATGATGATGGAAAAAATATGGAAATGTAATGACTGCTTTTCAGTGTTCGGTTGGTCTTCATTCTGGGAGAGGAGTGAATTTATGTAGCATTCTTCTTTACTGACACCCTGCTTAAGGGAAAATTTGTAGTTAAGTTGTAATTAGGTGGGGAGATGGAAAAGCTAACAGGGAAAATGCTTTTGGTCATTATAGAGTGCAGGGATAACAAATATGGGTAAAATGCATTGTAGGTGGTTGTAGGGCAATTGCAGGTACCCATTGTATCTAAAATATGTTAAAATAGTTGCATTTTGTTCCTGTTGCAGCTTTGTACAGAAAAGCTAGTCCTTAAAAACCTAGTATGTCTGGGTTTGCTCCATTCAAAAAAAGGAAGGTTAACGGTTTCACTATATGAAGCAATGAACCAAGGGTAAAACATTTAATTTCCTCTTCGAGTCCATGTAACTGTTAAGCAAATGCTGTGAGATCTCTTCAGATGTGTTGAGATCTCTCCAGGTGCTGTTCAGTTCTGCAGGAAGGCCGAGTTCTTCCAGGTTTTCTGTTTTGTATAGAAGAGGCAGCTGGTAACCTAGGGCTGTAGCAGTACCAGTGTGGAGGGCTGTGTGCCTTTGCTGGCACCCCACATGGCACGAGTCAGGATGCTCTGCCTGCTCCTTGCAGCTGTGAGTTGAAATTCACAGTCACAGAAGGTGAGGTGATGCCGTCAGGACAGTGGAAGAGACTGAGAGCAGAGGAGGATTTATGAGGAAGTTGAGCAAGCCTAGCTTCACCCGTCTTGGTGCGCTGGGGAAGTGGTGTCAGCTGATGAGGTGCAGGTCCAGAGGTGAAGGTGACCTGCTCCCCTTGTGATTGGCAGCAGAGGAGAAGGTCCCATCTTGCTCTGTGCAGGGCCTCTTCACTGTCCAATGGCTCAGGAAGAAGCGATGTGCTCTGGCCCAGACTTCCCATGTGCTGGCACACAGCACCTCTTGCAACAGGAGCTTCTGACCCTCTGGAAGCTCCTAGGAATGAAAATGAATGTATCAAATGTCATAATGTCCAAAAAAAAAGTATCAGCATAATATGTTCCATGTCCAGTTACTTCTACAGTGGGGTAGAGCTATGAATGTATTTTAAATGGGACATGTGTGTTAAATTTTGTTGTTTGCAATTAAAGTGGTAAAAAAAAAAAAAGCCCAAATACTATGGTGAGAATTCACTCTGTTAGTGACCACAGTTTTGTGTAGTGATTAGGAGTTTGTAAATCCTGTAATACCTCCCAGGTTTAACAAAGGAGAGCAGTAGTTGTAGGAATTCCTTGGCCAATCTGGTGTAGTCAGGTAAGGTAAACCTGCATCTTCGGTTCAGTTCAGTTCCTGGGGAAGAGGACAGGGCCATTGTTGGAATTATTAAATCCTGCTCTGTGTGTGTGAGACCACAAAAATGCTTTTTCAAAATGATCCCTTTTATATCTTCCTGCCTCCTTGTTTCTCCCCATGAGAATCTGTCTGTTGCACTTTATCCAAACCGCACTCGAAGGAAACAATAGTTGTATTGAATTGTAAAGTAAGCACAAGGAACTCTGAGATTTTTAATCCCATAGCAAAGTGTGCGCTTTCTCTCTATCAAACTTTTATGTGCACTGAGTAAGAAGGCTTGTTTTGTACACAGGTCTTCTTTAGAGGCATTCAAGAAATGCCTCTAAAGAAGGCATTATTATCTCAGATATTTTATTTGGTAATTTTTGGCAAGTTTGTAATAGCTGCTTTCCTACAGATTGAAATTTCAATTAAGTTAGGAGAGCACTGCTTTATTCATAATCGGATTTTATTTTACTTTAAAATTACGCCAGGTGATGCACTTTGATTTTTTTTGGAAGGCAATTCTTGTGTTTTTAAAATCGTGATTCCTATATGTATATATATGTAGAGGTAACTTGCTGAGTGTTTTCTCATGTGCAGTCCACCAATAAAATATAGGCTAGATGCTTTTTGTTGCTTCTCTCCCTAGTTTTTCTTCTGATTTTGTCAATGTTTGGTATGAAATTCGCAAAAGGTCCAAGCAGCCTTGCAGCTTTATCACAGAAAGTTTGTTTTTCTGTGTAATTGGTTGTTTATTTTAAACTGGGGGTGAACTGTTAGGGAAGCTACTTAAGTAAGCTATTGCAGAAACAGTAGCTGCTTATCACTGTGATCAGTTTGGTGCTTAGACCTTAATTTCCTTGGGAATGTTGTTGCTGCATTATTTGTGTGAACTGTGGATATAGAAGGAGTAATAGCTAGGTTGGTCTGACATAAAGACTGTCTTCTATACAGGGTAAATCTGAACAAGTTAAATGCTTTACTGTTAAATAAATGCACGATAAAAAAAAAAAGCCATACTCTCTCCTCTAAATCTAGAGTTATTCTGTTACTTTCTAGCATTTTGCAAACTGTATTTTTTTTTCTGAGCACAGTAACACCGTTGTTCTTAACAATGTAAGGAGTATGGTTCTAAAAAGTTCTTGCATAATAATAGATGCAGTGCAGATGCCATATGTGAATTTACTTTAACAGAAAGAAAACCACACCACTCACACCTAACCTAGAACTATACAGAACATCATTAAGTGCTCACAATGTTCTCTGGAAGAAGATTTTTGTCTTGTAGTAAGTATTTGCAGAGCTGACTCTTTGCAGGGTTGATACCTTTGCAGGGTTGATACCCAAAAATATTGTGGTTCAGGATCCACCAAAAGGAAATGAACTTTATTTGACCAACAAATATAAAAATTACCAGTGCATCTTTCTCCCGTAAAAGAACAATTGAAGAGCCAAATCTTCCTGAATGCACATTATAATGTGGTAGGTTTTATTCAGCACTCCAAATGCCCTTGTGGAAGGCCAGTCAGTGTTCAGCTTAAAAATTCCCCACATACTAAGTAAAACTGCACAGATAACTGATAAAGGATAGACATTCATTGTTACTGGTTGAAAGATACCCCTCACTAATCCAAAGCTTGTTTCTGAGCCACCAGCCCTCCATATTTAAATGAAACCAGGACAGTAGCTAAAAGATTTCAGGAAGTAATACTCATAGCTTATGGAATAGTAAAATCTAGCTCCTGTGATCTGTTGCTGGGTTACTATGCCCTGCCAGATCTCATCAATACCTCATTGTTCTGTCTTTCATTCCTGAATGGCTTGGATGATCTTAATTCATCTGTGGTAAAATCCTTATGTATTTGTCTTCAAAACAGCCCCTCACCAAACAGGCTTGCAAATATTTTCTCTTCATACACTTCCAGATACTATAGTGGGTGAGAAGGGTGCTCTGGTAAAAACCAGCAAAATTAGAAACATTCACTGTCTTGGTGTTGTTTTTGTGTGTAGAAAATTAATTTATGATTCTTTGGAGTCATAATGAACTGAAGTCATTATGGTTTGGAGTCAACCTTCTGAAGAGAGGTTTCTGATAGCTCTGCCCTAGTTATTGCTTATAAATATTGTGGTTTATCAGTTGGCAACCTCATCCTCTTAGGAAGTTGCAGGTTTGCTGTCAAGAAGCAAGTCATGTTGGCCTTTACAGAGAGTATGTTGATCTTAATAGTGATAAAGGCATCACTTTGTGTAGCAATCTGGATTTCTGTGCAAGTAGACAAGCAAAATGTTTGCCTAATGTTTCCAAGAGGGTTGCTCAGCTGCTGCTGCAGCCAGCTTTCCTTGTCATTGCTCCTGTTGCCACTTTGAAGTCCTGGTTTTATAAGTTCCACTGATCTGCCTCACATTTTCTTTACTGTCATGTCAGAGCCTACCGAAAAATTACTTTAAAAAATAAAAGGGTGTGTTGTGGGTCTTTGTTTGATGCCATTTTCTGGGTAACAGAATAAGCCATGTGAAATGAATACTATAGAGTTTACTCCGACCTTTTTTTCTATCAGCAACAACCTTCAGTGTCACTGGCTTGTCTTCATATCTGGTTGCTGAACACATTGAACTCCTCCCTTCAGCCAGTTATCACCATGACAGCTCCTTTGAAGGAGGCCATGCAATGAATGTTCTCTGGTTCCTATTTTTTCAACTAGTCAACATTTTAAAAGAAACAAAAAAGAGCAGCCACTTGGCAACTGAGCTATTTTCTACTTGGTCTGCTGGCATAGTCAATGTGAGAGTTTCAGTTAGGGAACCTTATTGTACGTGTGATTTGTGGTTAAATTAATAAAGACATGTATGTTGCTTAGTTCAATAGTTTTCAGTTTGCTTTAGATAGTAGTATTTGCTTTTCATTCAACAGTTAAGGCTGTTGGAAGTAATTACAGTGAAACCCATGCTAGTTTGAATGAAGAAGACCTGAAGATAAATTCAAGCCACTAGACAGAAACATGTGAGGGGTTTAGCTATATAGTCCTCTTCCTTCTGTGAATATTTATATCTGCAGTTCATGTGTGCTGTTCCATCCATAACTGAGAAATTGTCTGGACTCATGGAGACTGAGCTGGCGTGCAGTACTGTGCTTATAATCAATGCTTTTGTCCATCTCCAGCTGCCTTGGAGACCAGCCAGCTTTTCCTGACAGGAAATAACCTGGGTTTTATTGGATTTTTCCCTGCTGCTTCACACCAGCGCTGCCAGGTTGTTAATAAGGCCATTCATTTTTAGCTAATAAGTAATACCCTTATGAGATGTGCCTATGGCAAACATCAATAATTTTGCACCAGAAAGTTTTTCACTTTCTCCTCTGGTTTCTTATAGTTTCTGTGGCTTCAAATTAAAGATCCAAATCCTGTATCTTTCACACACTTGCTGTCTGGACTGTAACACAAGGGAAAGATTACAAATAAATCTTGGCTAAGAGGGACAGGCTTCAGCTATGCATTTTTTGTACTCTAAATTCTTCCTTATAAATACACAGCTCTATTTACACCTCAAGAAAAAACTGAAACAAAGCTTTCCATGTGTGTGAAGGTGGTAAGAGGCATCAAACCACCTGTGTCAGGTGTTAGACATACTGCTTACAGCAGTGTGCAATAGGGAGGCTGGCTGCTGTCTTCATCACAGAAGTGATACAAGAAGCTCAGTAGAATGGATCTAAACTTCAGGACTTTTTCAGCCAGTATATTTTTTGTCTTCAGAGACATTATTTGCTGGTAGTTTTGCAGCAATCCTATGAATGTTTGCTGTAAGTGTGTAGTTCTTGGAAAATGATGCTATATAATGTCATTGTTTGTTGTGGTTTTCATATCAAGTTTGTTCAGTTTTCAATTAAGATGTGGTTTTTTCTAGCTCTCAGTCTTCCAAGTTTGGCTTGACTTTTAAAAATTAAACTTTGTTCTTGGCTCAAGAAATTTCTTTGCAGATTTAAGTTCAACAGGCTAAGTTGTGGTCCAGTGTAATTTTCATACTTTGTGATACACCTTCAAAAAGCTATACAGGCTGTTCCATGGCTGATCCTGCTGCTGTGATCCAAGAGCTCTGCTCATCAGCAAATGTACTTCTAATGAAGACTTATACTATTTTTCTTTTAGACCAATAGTAAAGAGTAAAACTAAATGAATGTTTATAAAATTTAAAATTAAAATAAATCCTAAAGTTTATCAGTTAAGAGGAAATCAAATTTGGGGGATATTTCGGTTTCTGCTTTGTTTGATTTTTTCCCCAATAAAATTGCATAGTTCTCAGATCAGATTTTTACTTCAGACCATTGTTACCTCAAAAACAGACAACTGGAAGCTTCCATGCAGTGACAAGCATGAATAATAAAACCCAAACCAAACAGGAGTTGAAGGATTGTGTGTAAGAATTAGGTAACTGTCAATGTTCTCTAAGGGCAACACCTGTGAAAAGTTAACCTTTTTGGATGGTTCTGTTGAAGATTAGACAAGAGAAGTGATTCCAGGACTGTGATTGTATACAGAGGCTTTTCAGAGTCTTAAAATACGCCTTGCCTAAGTTAATTTATACAGCAGCTTAAAATACCCCTTTCACTGGGTCTAAAAGACTGCTGATTATTTCAATTGGCACTTGCAACAATCTTGTAAGTTCAGAATAACTTTCCTTTTTCTTGTTGATTTGCAGCTGCTGTTGGCTTTCTGGCAGTTTCCAGTGTCATTACCATGTCAGCTCCTTTCTTTATGGGGAAAGTTATCGACATTATTTATACAAATCCCAGTGAGGATTTCACTGACAGCCTGACCAGCCTGTGTGCCTTGCTGAGTGGAATCTTTTTATGTGGTGCTGCTGCTAATGCTACACGTGTCTACCTCATGCAGACTGCAGGTAAAAACAGAAGCAAAAGGGGTACTGAGAGTCATCTTGTTTCTTGCAGTCAGGGTATCTAATGATCTTAAACAAATTTTTGGCCATGGCCAAGAGATGATTTTGGAATCAGTACCTTTTTTTAACCAGAGCAAAGTTAAACTAATAGTGCAAAGATAAGTATGCTGGAATGATTGCTCATTTTTATTTGCTGTTAGATGAGATCTTAAAGATCTCATCTAGCACATCTTACCAGACTCTATTCCCTGTAATGTGCCTTGTTCAGTGCTGTGCAGTCCTGTGATTTTTATATTGTTGCTGCCTATGTAAAGTCTCTTGTGTCATGCTTGACTGACTTATGCTTTTGACAGGACAAAGAATTGTGAAACGTTTGAGAGCAACCATGTTCTCCTCCATTGTGAAGCAAGAAACGGCTTTCTTTGACAAGACCAGAACAGGAGAGCTGATAAACCGCTTATCTTCAGATACAGCCCTTTTGGGCCGCTCAGTGACTGAAAACCTTTCTGATGGGCTCAGGGCAGGAGCACAAGCATCTGTGGGGGTTGGAATGATGGTATGGTGGTCTCTTACTTGCTTGACACTACTTGTAGTTTCGCATTTGTTTCAGTTCTATTAGGTGAGTGTGAGTCCAACCAGTAACAATTGTGTGCTCTTGGGTTTGAGTGTATTTCACTGGTTATCTACAACAGATGCAGAGATTATTGCAGTAGGTGATGTGCCTGTAGCCAGCCACTTGATGTTTACTCACAAGCAAAATTTGGAGGATGATGGATTGATATTAGCTACTGTTTCTACCCAAAGTTATCAAGCAAAATGTAGTAGACAAATTGCTGAATTCCATTCTTACTGAAGATACTAAAATCAGTCATAACATTGCCATGGTTGCAGGTAAAATACGGTGTAATGGGCCTGATAGGAAATCATTTAAGTTGGTTGATTCTGGTTAAGCAAAGGCAGCACTCCATATCTAATTAATGCCAAGGATTTTTACAAGTATTAGTCTTTCTGCTTTAGTCTGTCAGTAAAGAATATGTTTATGTAGGAGCCTTGTTAATGGAGGCTTCCATTAACAAGGGCAGGGCATCAGTCAATATTCCTTGGTGATCAATTGGATTACATGAACATCTGACTTCTCTTGAGGGTTTTTTTTTGTGGCCTTAATTTTTTTATGCTTATGCATTGGTGTGATAATTTCTGCTGTCTGTGTGGAGTTAAAAACAGACAGCAAATAGTCTCCTCATAAAAATAAGCATCCAATATTGTCATTAGAAACTGTTGAGAGTTTCCACTATGAAACTTTAAAGCTTTAATATTTAGTCACTGATAAGAATGGCTTTCTGTGCTGTCTTATAAAGGGACTCCAAGGCTTTATCTTACCAAAGATAAAATGAGATAACTTTATATAATGCATCCTGCTCCAAAATACTGCCATGACATGGTTGTAAGAGTACTATTTAAGTTTGCCAAGGGAAGGAAGAAGATACTATTATTAAATAATTACAAAGCCTATCAATTATGCTGATTTTGAATATTTCTGGAGACTTTTGTTTTCAATAGAGAAATCAAACTAAAATTAAAACACATTAGATCTAAAGTCAGTAAATCTCATGAAGAGAAGCTCTTTAGGTTCATTAGAAGCAATGATCACTACAAGTGATAAGTTTTGCAGCAATAAATTAAATACCGTGTTCCACCCATTCGTGGGTGCTAGGGAGTAATAGTGACTCCATCTGTTTGTTCCTCAGTTACCCAGAAGTACTGTATGGTATTTCTCTACTCAGAGCTTCTGTATTACACCATCTATTTAATAGTTGTGAAAGCACTTTAGAAACTGTGTAATAGCTTATGTCTTTCAGCATCCCCAAAAGATTTCCTGGTAGGCCTGTTTAGTGGCAGGTTAAGGTGCTTGACTAAGACCACACAGAGAACCAGTGAGAAAGCTAGAAATTAAATCCAGATGGCTTTGTCTATAGTCCTTTGATCTAACTTCCCAAATGCTGTGAAAGAATGGATATTTTGCCTGGAAAAAAATTAAAACATGATAAATGAAAGCATGGCAGCACTAAATCCCTACTAGTTTTAGAAATGTAGCAAGCGAAATTGCACTTCAGTACTCCGGGGATTATTTTTAATCTGAATGCTAAACTCTGACAATACCTTTTTCTTCTAGTTTTTTGTTTCCCCTAGCCTTGCTGCATTTGTTCTGAGCGTTGTGCCACCCTTGGCTGTCCTGGCTGTGATTTATGGCAGATACTTGCGAAAGCTTACTAAAGTTACTCAAGATTCTCTTGCAGAAGCAACACAGGTAACCTTTCCAGTTAACTTAAAAGTTGCTCTAATGTATTGAAGTTAGTATCTCAAAAGTTACAGATCTGAAGACAGTTGTACTGTTAGTTCTGACACTGTGGTTTAGCACCTGAGTAGTATGACAGGTAAATGTCAGTAACACTTATTCACAGATCTCAAAAACAACCATGCTTCCTTTGTATGTAGCAATATAACACAGAGATACTAGGCCTTGAGAATTTGGAAATGTAAGAAATTACAAGGAGCTTAGACTTTAGCTTTGTGAGAGAAAAAAAAAATCAGCCTATGAAGTCCTGTGGAAGTTGGTACCTGGACTTGGAAACCACTTGGATTATGGTTTTGAGCTTGAAGCTATCTGGAGCACACTAGGTGAATGCTTCCTTTGCTGGCAATTCCATCTCTGAAGTTCATCCCTGATGCTTGATCTTACTGTCAGCTCTTAAATGTTTATGGGCCCTGTTTCTTAAACATTTTCCTCAAAGGCTTAGCATGGGGAAACATTATTATAAAGCATGGAAATATAATTAGGAAAGCTGCAGGCAAAATAGTCACAGTTGCCAGCTGTTATAACTTGGGATGTCCTTTGTAGAACTGCCTAAAAGGAAGATTAGCCCTCTTCCATTTGTCTTCTTCAGACTGTGTTGGTGGGAAGCTCGTGCCTTTGTAAACCAGGTGTGGGACTTGAAATGAACAAGCAATTGTTGTGTTCCATTCAAATTTTCAGGTTGTATGGGAGATGAAAGAAGGAAAATTATTTTTTGTATTATACTTTTACTTACAAAAGGGGAACTTGTTTTTTCTAAGACCATCACAATGACCATTAACAACTTAGTGTAAGTGGTTACAATTGAGGCATTTTAGAATTAAGACTTTGCTGTTTGGAAGTTAAAATACTAAGTTGAAATGAGACATTCGTAGTTGGACTAAATTAATTCCCAGCATTGCTTTGATCAAATGAGTGGAATTGTTTTAGGAAATAACTGCAGGCTTTTTTGCATGACTTAGTATGGAACAGATATTCTTTATTTTTTCCCTTCCCACATTGTTATTACATATTGTGAATAGTAACTTCCCTATGGGTGTTGTTCACACCAAATTTTTTAACCCTACTTTTATATTTTTCTGTCTCTGCTAGCACTTAAGACAATCTTGAGGGTTTTTTTTTTTTAAAAAACTGCCTGGGCATGCAGTTTGCTTTTAACTTAATAGAATTTAAAAAATGGGGTTTGGGGTGGGGAGAGGAAGGCATGAGAAATTTTCCAGTGCTATCCAAAGATATGTAGATTAGTAAAGTGATATTGCTTTAACTTTCAGATGATCTGTAATGTGAGCATTTCAAATTGTGTGTCTCTGTGGATCTGTTTTGTACTTTGCTTCAATGCAGTTAGCTGAAGAGCGTATTGGAAACATCAGAACAGTTCGAGCTTTTGGGCAAGAAATGGCTGAAATGGAGAAGTATACAAATAAAGTTGATTATGTGCTACAGCTGGCTAGAAAAGAGGCTCTAGCTAGGGCAGGCTTCTTTGGAGCTGTAAGTATATTTAATGAAAGTAAGCCAACCATGTTATGCAAAGTGTCAATTATTTTAAAACTCCCTATGATACTTAAAAATCTGCCAGTAAATGATTGAGAATAAATTGAACGTATAAAAGTGTGGGAAGACTGGACTTAAATAAGCCTAAATTGCTGTGAAACTGCATCTCAAGATAAAACAGTATGATAAAGTCACTATAAGCCTCAATTTCTGCACCACACCCCATAGCAGGGGACTACTTATCTGAGGCCACACCTTCTATTCAAGGAATGAAACCAGTGGAGACCTTCCCCTTAGCATTTAGAGGTTTGGCTCCCCAGTGAGAGAAGCATCAATCATAGGAAGGTGGGGAGTGCACAGGTAGGGGAGGAAGGCTTGGATTTTTCCATAACTGTTTGTCTAATTGAATTCTAAAACTGGAACGTAACTGCAGACTATCAATTCTTCCTTGGTAATGATGGTTGAGAATAATGTTTAGTGTTCCTTTCCACCATGGGGGAAAAAAAAGCCAAAAAAGAGCTGCTTGCTTTTTGAACACTTGTTGGATAGCACAGTGCCATGGATGTCTGTCTGGCTGTTGGCTGCTTTACTTTAGAATTGTTGAATTTACCTCAGTCCTCCAAAAGTCTAGATACCTATAGTGTGAGAGTTCTTTTCATTATAAGGAAAGTTCTGAAACAGCATTTTAGAGGATGAAATTTAAGATGTATGTGACAAAATCTGCCTTTTCCTTTTTCCTTAGACTGGCCTTTCTGGAAACTTAATTGTCCTCTCAGTATTATACAAAGGAGGATTACTAATGGGCAGTGCCTACATGACAGTTGGTGAACTCTCCTCTTTCCTAATGTATGCTTTCTGGGTTGGCATAAGCATTGGAGGTATGGAATGGGAAATTAGATTTTCTTCATGTAAAGGCATTATAGTCATTATAGCGGTGGGAGGGAAGTAGCTCTTAAAGACTTCCAAAGGAACTTCTCAAGAAATTATTTTTTTTTCTGAAGAGTTAATGAAAGTAATAGTCTGTAACTTAATATAAGCCTTCTTTTTCCCCAAAAGAAAGGCTGGTTTTTTTTCAATGTGTGCGTGTGACAGTATATATTACTTTAATTTTCTTAAAGTCTAAATTAAGATACTTGCTGTATTGTGTAAAGCAATAAAATATTTGGGTCTATGTTAAGCATACTCTGTTTAGAAAGGCATGTAACATTTAGCTGTAATTCAGTATAGAGTGTCCTCAACTGGAAGAGTAAACAAAGTGCCAGCAGAATACTGCACTCAGTGCTAACCTTCTGGTTTTCCTTACTCACTGACTCCTCCTGGAAGCCCACACTCTGTAATCTACTAGGCCAGCAACAAGCTGTTCATCTTTTTGTCAGAGCTGTCTTCATGGCTGCATACAGGCAAAAATGATGATAAGTTGCTCAGAAGCTCTACAATTTACTGGAAGCATTCTTCTGCAAAATGAGCCTGTTCATTCTGATAGACTAGGAGGGCAATGCAGCTTTTTCTTTTTTAAGACTAGGCCTGATATCACAGGGAGCACAAAGATGTGTTTGAGGGCAAAATTTAACAAACCTGCTTCCTTGTATATCAAATTCGAGTGGCACCCATTCCAACTACCAGTCCCCTTTCTTCTCTGCTTAAATCATTGAAGTTTGGTCAATAGAGAGATATCTTACACTTTGAAAACATGGGGCAAGCTAATATTAAATAAATGAAGATTAGAAGCACTGCTAAAAATATCATTGAATTAACTTTCATTTGCTATAAAAACATATTTTTAAATTCTAGGTCAGATTATTGTAGAATGTAGTTCTGCACAGAGCTCATTCTCATGGGGACTCTGAAGCAGAGGTGTCTTGCCACAAGAGGCTTGCCTTCCTAGATGCCTACAAGGCATATAAATCTTCCAAGGGCTAAGTCTGCTCTGTATATGTCATCAATGCATATAGGAGTCAATGCAATAGCCGTGAAGTTCACTGCATAATCTGTGACTTTGCTCCTCTTTGTTGTAAGTTTGCTGTGTTTTCTTCCAAACACAGAACATGGGTTATGAAAATAAAAATGTTTTCTAATTTGTGTTTGCTGTCCATATTATATAATGTTTTGTTTATGAGTGGTTGTGGATTTGCAAAGAGCAACTCAGTGTTTGAGTTCAAAGTTGCTCTGTGAAGCTTATGCCTTCCCCTGCCATGCCCTGCTCTAGGATGTGATTCTGTGGCTCTTTTTTCCAAGCAGACAGCTTCTCACCATGGCTCTAGTGTTGCAAACTTTCAGATAGTCCTCAGCAGCATGATCAAACATCCTGCCTACACTTACAGACTTGTGACCTTAAGCTGAGCTTCTTGCTCTGCAAAAGTAAACCAGTAAATCCATTATATATATATTTGGATTTACATATTTTTATTTGCACCTTCATTTTTCTGCCCTCCTGAAATAATTCTTAAGCACTTTCCAGGAATTCAAAGGTCATGAAATCGGTGTCTTTCTTTTGAAAGGCACACAAAAATTTAAGAAATTGGACACCTTATATCTATGTACTACTCCATTTTTAGTTCTGTTTTTGTTTCTGTGTTTATGTCAGCTGGAAAGCCCTTCAACCAAGCTACTTTCAAGATGATTCACACATCTGCTAAGAGCTGGGACCCAGAACTATGTGCAGGCTTTGTTCTTAGCTTTTGCTTTCTCCAGTACTGTTTGAAGTATTCTGGCATGGGAGACACATTTCTTTCCATTGTCCACTCTCCACATACCTTCTCAAGCATCACCTCAGCCCTGGGTTTTGTGCCCCCTCTCTGCTGTAGCTGACTCAGCCAGGCTACCCTGTATTAGTGTAAACTTATCTGACAAAGAAGAGCATTCAGAATGCTCTGTTCTCCTGAATGATCTGGGAATATAACTGGTAGAATGCAAAGCCATTTTCCTGAAGTTGGATGCTGTTCTTCCTGACAGGTGAATGGGAAAGGCTGTAGTGTATACACATAAGCTGGAGTGTATTAACATTTTCTTTTCTTTGGAGTGATTTGTTTTACAGATATAAAGAAGAATGGTGAATAAGGGTTATTGGCAGCTCTCAAATGAGACTAGATAGGATTTAACACTTTTAACAGTTTATTGGAATAAAAATTCTCTACACATCTGATCCTTCAATGCTGCTGCTGAAAAGTATAATGCTAATTTTATCTCTTCTATGTCTTCCATTGCATATGGATGCATAATACTGTTCTGCTTTCTGTTTAGGTCTAAGTTCCTTTTATTCTGAGCTTATGAAAGGACTAGGTGCTGGTGGACGTCTTTGGGAACTTATTGAAAGGAAGCCCCAACTTCCATTTAATGGTAGGTTCTTGGTTTGTTACTGTTTAAAGATTGATTTTGTCTTACAGGTCAGCAATACTTTAGAAAGCTGTGTGTAACACTTAAAGGTAGTACTGACTTAGATAATTTTCAAAGAAACTAAGCATAGTCATAATCCTTCTGATTTTACCTAAGTACAAAACAGATGATGAAAAATTTCTTTAATAAAAAATTTTAGAGGCCAAAAGGTTAGCTTAATTAATTACTTTTGGTTTAATTATTTTTTATTTATTTAATTCAGAATATGATTTTGAATCATTACTTTCTAAATTATGTGACTGAGGACATGGTCATTTCTAGCTTTTTGGAATGTCTTGTTGATGTCATCACTACTTCCTCTTGATTCAGCTTTAGAGTGAAAAGAGTGGAAAGAAGAAAAAGGAGAGGAGGGAGGAGCTCTTTGAGATGGCTGTATCTCATATTTCCACTGAACAGTTTACCATGCTCATCTCTAATGGCTCAGAAATGGTCAGAGAAGCTTTCAAAACCAGGTGGTTTTCATTAAGAGTATTGCAAGCTTAAACATTTCATACTGATCCAGTGAAAATCAGCCCGTAGTAAGACATGTTGATATGAATCCTAACTTGCAAACACACAATTTGAGGCCTTTCAGCAACACATACTAAACTGAGTTTTTGATCTGCCATAGGAATCAGGGACTGAGGCATAACTGGGAAATAAAAGTAAAGGGTAGGGCTGATAGGGGGACTTCTGCTTCTTGGAATAGTATGGATGCGTAGCTACAGCAGGTGTTGTTTTTGGAGTGATTTCTCCTTGCAGTAATACTACCCACATTTCTTCTTTATTTCAGGGGGCAAGATTTTATTTTTGTAGAACTCTGGTTGTTGTTGATGACAGCAGATATCTTGGGAACAAAGAATAATGTCTTTTTCCTTGTGTCTAGAATCCAAACAAGAGACAAGTACATAGCTTTTAGATATTATTACAGTGATATATAGAGGAAGGACTTGTGGTAGCAGACTTCCTGTATTGCAGTACATTCAGTGTTTCAGGCCATGGATAGAGTGTGCAATAACTGCAACTGAGACTTAAGATAAGTGATTACTTGATGCCGTGGTAATAAGGATTATGCTGCTAACACAGGATTTAGCAAACACATTTCTTTTCTGAAAAGGAGGTTTACAGGCTATTGTGGAAACATTATAGTGTGTATGTCCATTGGTTAAAGTCAAGGAAGGAATCTGGAATTGCATGCTTTTGCCTTCTCCATTCCAATGCTACTATCATTAAACTGAAAGCCTGGAGAAGAAATGGGAACCTGGAAAGAAAGATCAGAACTAGTGAAATCTAGATTGCTGCTGATGGTTGTCTTTGTTTCCTATCCACAGTTACTGTTTAACCAAACACTGGCATATGCTACCCCATGCTATGGCTGGTTGGGAGTTACTTGTGTGCTGCATCTGAAAAGAATTAAGGGTTTGAGCTGTGCTTCTCCAGCACAAACAAACATGACTCGGGTATTGCTCTAGTACTGCCAGTTTTTACAAAGTTTGTGGGAACTTCATCTTTTGGAAATGCAGCCCCACTTGTCCAATTAATTTGCTTTGTATGGATATGTGTCACTGGGTTTTAACAGGGCTTGAAGAAATTTTGTTTCTTTGTCTTAACAATTTATCAGCTTTTTCTAATAATGATATTAAGAAACTTGTTTAAGTCAAATGCTGTGTTCCAGAAAGAAGCTGGTTTTATTTAACTTTGGTAGTTGTTAATTCATGGTGGTTTCATTGATGGACGATTTCACAAACTGAAATTTTCATTTCAGTGAGCTGTTGCCCAAGAGTTAGACCTCTGATTGGTATTTGAATTTATTAAGTGTTCTTTCCACTGAAAGGAGAAAATAAAACTAAAAATTGTCTGTTAGTGCAACAAACGTAGCAGCAGCTTAATTCCAGTGACAGGAACTGCTCTTGTTCAGAGGGGGGTGCTTCAGGTGACTTTTGTGGCTCGGTGAAAGGGCAATAAATGATTTGCAATGTTTATCTTTTTGTGTACTGTGGCAACGGGACTTTGGCCTTCACCAATGCCTTTTTATTTCATTGCTCCTAATTGACAAAGCTTTAATTGTTTACAGTATGTTCACTAATTCAGATAATTCTATGAGAAGTGATTGGTGTTAGTGGTTAGGTATTAGCAAGATGCAAATTCTCCCTCTTGTTGTAGGTAGCCTACAGGTTCTATGCTGGTGAGCAACCTGAAATTGCATTCAGGAATGATTGGTATACCACACTGATTCACTCATGGCTGAAATATAACCACTGTGGTCCTGAAGTGTGGCTTGCAGTTATCCATAGATTGAATGTGGAGATAGATACTTCTATTGAGTGTCTGTAAAGCAAGTTCTAGGAGGGCTGAGCTAATTTTTGTTTCTGTTCATGTTTCTGTATTTTATTCTTTGTTATGTAGAGGGAATCACATTAGACAAAGACGTATTCAGAGGTGCTTTGGAATTCAAAGATGTTGAGTTTGCATATCCAACACGTCCAGAAGTATCCATTTTCAAAGATTTCAGCCTTTCCATTCCAGCTGGCTCTGTTATGGCCCTCGTTGGCCCAAGTGGTACAGGGAAATCAACGATTGTATCCCTTCTGCTGCGGCTGTATGATCCTATCTCAGGTATGGTTTGTGTACAACTCTCATTTAGAACAGCTCATGCTTTGCATCTCAGATAAACCTTATAAACAGCTGGGGTTCCTCTGCTTGAAGCCCATGTCCCCTTCTGGGGTGTATAGTTACCTCATGGTGGTGCCTGCATAGCTTTGCATTTCTGACCCACCAGTAGAGTGTGTGATTCCCCAGGGGTTGTCATTCTCAGCTGTTCCTTCAGACTCTTTCAGTCATGTCAAACACACTTGACTTCACTGTTTCCTAACTTAAGGTACTATCACCGTTGATGGCTTTGATATCCGTCAGTTAAATCCACTGTGGTTCAGGACAAAGATTGGAACAGTAAGTCAGGTAAGGAAGAAAAAGAAATCCAAGTGGATGAAATTTTGTGATCAACTAGCTTTTCCTCACTTTCCTTCTTTTTAAAAAGACATAATCTTGCTTCTCCGTGAAATCCCTCCATCTCACCATAACTGCTGTTGCACGTTTTGTTCTAAAAATAAGCATTTAGAGCCAGTTCCAGTATTCTATAGTCTGTTTTTACATAATCACAGAGATCCAAAATGTTAGTATAGAAGAAAAGTGTGCAGGTGGAGACTGGAAGGTAAATTGCTGTAAATTGTGTAGGTATGACCAACCTAATGCTTGCTATAATTTGTTGAAGAAAGTAACAAAAATCTTAACACTTAATTACCTTTTCTATTGATAAAAGTCACACAATCATATTTTACACAACCATTTAAAAAACTGACCTTCTGTGCTCTGAATAGTTTCCAGGAAACCATAATCTCCATTAGGAAAGCATGAAAATACAGCACAGGTAGCACTTACTTACTTTTATAGTAAGTATCACCTTCCTAGCAACCTCCAGACTCTGGAAGTCAATGGTGTCTTAAAAATAAGCTATTTCATCAATTAAAATGTTCATTCCCTCGTCTCCCCAGATACTTCACAGTGCAATTAACTGTTAGGTTGATGTTCTGGTTAAAAGCATAAGAGTAACTGAGTATTTGTTGCATTTCAAAACAATTTCCTTATGTAATAATGCCACCAAAAGCTTTTCTGCAAAAATTATTTTCTTGTTGGCACATTAGCATTTTTCTTTTTGAAATAATCTATTCAATTTAAATTACCAGTAGGAGGTCAATACTGGTATTCAAAGAACATGACTTTACTTTTTAAACAGAGCTCACTTACCTTATTTCAGACATTTTCCCATTGTACATCACTTGTCATATCTCACAGTTCTCTGTTGCAAGCTTGAATACAAATTAAATGCACATAATGCCATAAAATCTGTGTAGAGATTAAGAAAAGAATCATCATTGTTGCAAACCACAGAATAGTTTGGGTTGGAAGGTACCTTTAAATGTCATCTTATCCAATCCCCCTGCATTGAGGAGGCACAACTAGATGTGGTTGGTCAGAGGCCCATGCTTGAATGAGCCTGACTTGGAATGTTTCCAAGGATGGAGCATCCACTACCTCTCTGGAAAACCTCTTCCAGTGTTTCACCACCTGCATTGCAAAAAAGTCTTCCTTATATCTAATCTAAATCAACTCTCCTTTAGTTTAAAACCATCAGCCCTTGTCCCATGACAACAGGCCCTGCTAAAAAGTGTTTCCATTTTTCTTAGAGCCCCCACTTTAAGTCCTGTAACCATCAGGTCCCTCTGGAGCCTTTTCTTCTCCAGGCTGAACAGCCCCATCTTTCTCAGCCTCCCCTCACAAGATAGGTGCTCTATCCCTTCCATTGTGATGATATGAGGCAAAATACAAAGGAAGGGCTTTTGATGTTTGAATGTATAGCTCTTCCTAAGCTCTTCCTAAAATATTAGGAATTGATAGTTATGTTTTGTCAGTTAAAAAAGCAACTTAATTTTTAATTGGTTTTCACTGTCCACGTCGGTGTTAGGGGAGGAGGAGGACGTTTTTTATTAGTCTTTTAATCAATTAACTCTAGCTTATGTATTATTTTTATGGATATTGTAGGTGGAGTCTTGTAAGTGGGATTTATGTTATCTGACATACTAGATAACACATGCACACAATTACAGATCTACCATACCAGTTATGTGTTTGCATTTGTCAGGAACCAATTCTCTTCTCCTGTTCTATTGCTGAAAATATTGCCTATGGTGCAGAGGATCCTTCTACTGTGACTGCAGAGGAGATTCAGAAAGTTGCTGAAATAGCAAATGCTGCTAATTTTATCAGAGATTTTCCAAAAGGGTTTGACACTGTAGTTGGAGAAAAAGGAGTTTTGCTTTCAGGTACGTCTTTATTTTGCTTATTTTAAAAATCTTGATGCTACTGAGTGATGTAAAAATTCCATCATTTTTTGTCACTATTTTTTTCTCCAAGCTGTGGCCTGCCATAAGTATTAAGAGAATCCACCCTTCATTCCCCACTAAAGTACATGGACCTAATTCTGCTCAGCCCAGGCATTCAGTTAAAATTACCTGACATCTGTTTTCCTGTTTCAATTTACTGATTATTTTTCCCCAGGTGGACAGAAGCAGCGAATTGCAATTGCTCGAGCTCTGCTCAAGGTAAGCCAGCACCCAAATAACTATTTAATTACTTCTTGGGGGGAAGCAGGAGAGATTAACAAGAATGAGGTATTTCAATGGGAGAGGCAGGAAAATATTTTGAAAAGGGAAAACTGTATCTTTTATGTTAATGAAGGGCTGAGTGACTTAATTAATGACAACTTACTTAATGTCAGTGCTTCTCCCTATATTTTAGCCATGTTTTTTGATAGTTCTTGCCAAGACTGATGTTAAATCATTGTAAAATGGCCCATTTCCATAAGATGAGGTCAAGGATGAAGGAAGACTTTAAGAATGTGATGCTATTAAACATATATGACATGACTCTGTTCAGATCTCTATCATTCATGGGTTAATTTTTCTGGGTTGCAGTTTACTAGGACTTCAGATGCCTTGTCTGAGCTTTGAGGGGAGATGGCCTGGATTTTGACCAAGGTGATATTTCAGGCAGAATGTAGTGTCGTGTTTTTCTTTGAAGATTGGTGTGGGCCTAGCTTCAGGGCAGGCTCTGTGCTGCACAAATTTAAGGGGGCTTCTGAGGATCAGAATGACAGACAGTTTGGTTCAGGGACAGCCACAGGGGCTTGCAAGGAGGCAGTTTGGTGCTGATGCTCAGCTGGAAGTTTTGATCCTTGCTGAACACAGTTTACATTCATGTTAAGCCACACAGGTGTCTGTAGCATCCTGGCATGCCCAGTTCTGCTAGATTAATAGGAATTTCATTACACATGTTCTCTTTTACCACTAATGCTGAAAAGCTGATTGTATTTCAAGCCATGCATTTTATATGGTTCATGGGATTGAAGATTTAATGTTGTGGAAGTAAAAAGGTTATAAAAAATAAATGAGTAGTTGATATACTGGGATATTTGAGGGTGCAGTGAAGTCCTGTCCGTCCCAGATAAAGAGTAAAGCTTTTCCTCTCAACTTTTTCAAGGAAGTTTGGATATTTTCTGTAATTCAGTAGTGAATTCTTCTAAGGGATTTGAGTGCTGGCAATTTTATTTTTTTTATAATCTAACTGGGAGAAGTTCTTAAATGCTAGTTCTTAAGTACTATGTGTTTTACCTGTGAGTGAAATACTGCTTGTTGGTAGGGCTTGGTTACTTGCAGTTACTAAGACAGTTTTATATAGCAGACTGACTGCAAGCAGAGGGTAGCTGAGCCTCTGTGAAAGAGCCACATAACAATGTAGAACTTTTGACCACAGTGCTGCCAAGAATGCCTTAAAAATCATCCCCCCCCTTTACCCCTTTAGTTTGTATCTTTCAAATGGTTGTCCAGGAATAATATTCTGCTGTTTTAATTTGGAAAATTTGAAAATGGAGGAGTGTTGATTCTGTTTTGTCCTCTTAGCATTTAGATTTCTTAGAAGTAATGCTTTGAATGACATTTTGATGAAGTAGGTACTCTTACTTGGAGTTTTAAGCTATATGAATCCTCTTCTCTATTGACATAAATATTCAGATCTTGTTTAATTGTTATTATAACCAATTTTACTTTCTCTTTCAGAATCCTAAAATTCTTCTGTTAGATGAAGCAACAAGGTAAGAAGAAAAAGAAACTTAGAAATTATGTAGCTGTAAAACTCAGATTTGAGAATTGTTCTCTTTTCTTTTCTTTTCTTTTCTTTTCTTTTCTTTTCTCGTTATACATTGTCTAGCCCCTTATTGCTCTCTAGTCACAAAAACAAATGTGCCTTCTAGAATGTGTGACTTGTTTAGGAAACCTATAATAAAAGGTGTTTATGCAAAGCAGAAAGGATAGCTGGCACATTGTGATTTTTCATGGAGTTACATTCATAATATGTAACATGATTTTGAAACATCTGCTTAAGGCTTTTTTGGATCTTTAGTTTAAACTTAGATCCTCGTGTAAAAGAAATAGGATTATTGTGCAGTGTAACTGATTTTTTTTCCACCTACTTACTTTGGTGTTATTTCTCAATGCTTATTTTTGCATATGAGAATATGTCACGCCTGTAACTTGGAAGTGAGCACTGAGCATGTTCATTAAACTTTCCTGCAGTTGCAGTGGTTCATCTTCACCACAAATAGAGAGGGTTTGCAGTTTTGGCAAAATAAGCCTCATGCATACAAAACCAACCTGCCTTACAATAACAAATCTCCTCCTCCTCTCTCCCATCCCCACCCCAATTGTTGCTAGTGCTTTGGATGCTGAAAATGAGTATCTGGTGCAAGAAGCTCTGGACCGGCTGATGGAAGGGAGGACAGTCCTAATCATTGCTCACCGTCTGTCTACTATTCAAAATGCTGATTTCGTTGCAGTCCTTGGCCAGGGTAAAATTCTGGAATGTGGGAAACATGAGGAACTACTTGCAAATCCAAATGGACTTTTCAGGAAACTAATGCAGAAACAAGCTTTTCTTCAGAATAATGATACTTTTGCATTGGATTTACAAACCAGAGGAAAGGATATATTAAAAGAAAATGTATGAGACAATGTATGAATAATTACAAACTTCAAAGACTATAACTTATGTTTCAGTTATGTAAAGTAAATGTTATATTTTTACAAAATGTACAAAATATTCTTTTGAAACTTAAATGTGTCTAAACTTTTTATTGAAAGCTTTTTAATAACTATTGTAACTTTTAAAATATCTGTCACACTGAGATAATTTCAGGGTATATATTTTTCTGCTTGTGTTATTTTGAGGCTGTCTAGAATCTTGTTTCCTGTAATGCTCTATATGAAGATGTGTTCCATTCTCAAGTAAGTTCAGTATTTTAAAGGTAATTAAATGACAATCTTATCATTTTCATATCATTGTCTCTCTCATTCCCAGGAACTTTCATGTTTTGTGCTTGTCATTAGTCTTAAAATGCTGGAATTCAAAAATGCATGACACTAACACACTCTGAAAGTTCTGTCTGACTTCCACTACACTGTCCTTCCAGTTACTGTTTGTTCTGAAATGTGATTATGTGTTCTGAACTTGACTATGATCTCCATCTACAGTTCCTGTAGAGAATTACATATTAAGACACCTTTTAGAGGGTATGAAAGCACAAGTTGGAGGAAAGTTCTTTAATAAAACAAAATGGAAAAAAAGGCAACCAAACAAAAAAACTGACTTTACAAAAGCACAAAGGAAGTGTATTACTATATGAAGTCACATAGGAAAATTGAAAATTTGCATGTGTTTTCTTCTCTTTTCTATTTTCCCATCTCATTAGTTTCACTTCCTTTCTAAGATGACATCCAAAACAACATGACCTCCCACATATGTTTTTGTCCTTTTTAAAGGCATATGTAAGTTTTGTATTGTTAATCAAAATTTCAGTGATAGAAATCATGAGTTTTGCCTAACTACTCTATTAGAAACAACCAGTAAACAACCTTCTCAAGGACAACTAGTAAAATAGCAGCATTACATTAATTTGAATAACTGCAGGGGGATATGTTTGGCAGTGAAAATTTTGCCTCATGTTTCTGATTGAAGAGTCTCTTTCAATACAATCTCTGGAGATGCAAAACCCCACAAGGAGATTTTACAAAGCTAGAAACTTCAGGTCACATTAAAACTCATCCATGCTAGGAAAACTTGTGGCTGGAAGACCTTATTGGCAATACCTGAAATACCTAGTGCTGGGCAAGCTTAAAATGTTAGTGCCATTAATGGCACCTTGTGGAATATAGTGAAAGTATTAGAGAATAAAAATAAAATGACATCCAGATGTGATTGTATCTTCAGATAAAATTTTCCTAGAAGCATATGTTGTACTAAAGATATGCAAAAAATGTTTATGACCCAATGTTTAATTTCAATCTTGACTATTAGTTAATGTATTTAGAGGGGCTTGCATCTGTAATCCTCATTCATGTAATTTCTCCTTACATGAGATCCAACGAGCCCCTTTATCCCTGTATTTACACGGGTTACAGGAATTACTTGCAGCTGAACTGAATGAGTGTTTCAAGTCTTGTGTTCATTAGTTGTCCTGGCAGGTATTGCAGCTGACAGAGAAATGGAAAAGCTACACAAAAGCTCTAGTTCACCAAAAGACAAATGTCTGTCATACCAGGTACATTGGTTAGCAGACTTTATTTGAGTTAGAACCATCAAAAAACTCCTTGGGATATTTATGGGACAGTCAAGAACTGGTTAAGTCTCTAACTGGTATGAGTATAAATTATTTCTGTGTAGAAAATGAGATTTGAATGTTGAATTGTGTCTCTCTCCTGAAGATGGAGCTTTTAAAGGGCTGGGACAGCCAAAGGAAGCCAACTAATTCCCTGAGGAAGTGTACCTGCATATAGATAGGGTTCAATCAGCAAAACACAACTGCACATGCTGCATCGCTTAAAATATTTTAGGAATGAGCTGTGAAGAGGAGCTTTCAGTTTTTCAAATAATTTGAATGTCACCAATCATCAATGTTGGGAAATGTGGATGTCATCTTGAATTTTCTTCCAGATTTTTCTGTATTTGCTTATTTGTGTGTGCATTTCCTAGTTTGTTTTTCTTGATGAAGTGACAGTAACCTGATGATTTAGCATCATATGTATAATGAAGGCTATATAGAAAGATACTATATTAATGTAGCAATATAGTGATACTCCACTAAATTTTAGTATTTTGCTTTTTGCATAAAATCAAAGCCAAAGGAGATTATTTGAATGAAAAAGACAAAGCACTGACACTGATAGGTGCCTCATACTTCAGTCCTGCCAGATGAACCATCTCAAGTTTATCTCATCTGCATTTGGGTTCAGTCATAGGAGACACAATCCACACAAAAAGCCTAACAGTCCTGAATCTATCATCAAAGAACACAGTTTGAAAAGTTATGCGATTTTTAAAATATTCTATTTTTAGTTAATTTTATCTGAACTGATTTGCTTTGTTGTTAATATACACTCAACTTCTTCCCCAAGAGGGTGATACATAATTTCTGAGCTTTTCCATGCCAACTGATGCCATTGAGCATTTAGTTCCCCTTGAAGGCTAAAATCTATTTTTATACCCTAGAATAGCTGTAGTGTCTGGTTGTTATTTACCATAGATGTGAAACGTACCAAAGTGTGCACGGAATATGGTTTTTTATATTTATTTATTTAATTAATTAAAAATTTGGGGACAAACACAGGTATACACAGGCTATTTTAAAGATAAATGCGTCCTGAAAAAATGGTCTTTGAACGGCTGCTACTGAAAAATGCGTCCTTCCAAATGGTCTTTGAACAGCTGCTTTTTGATCACATCCAGCTGGTTAGTGCCAGCTAATCGCAGGAACTCAGCAAGGAATGGTACCCAAAGGGAAAGGAAGACACCGAAGGACGGAGCACAGCTTCAGGAAGATCTGAGCGAGAGGACCGTGTCTCAGTTTGGCGCTGAGGGCCGGCGGCGCTGAGGAGCAGCCCGGGTCGCCATTCACCCCTCAGGGCCGGGCCGGGCGCCCTGCACCAGCAGCCGCCGCGGGCTTTCCGCCGCTCCCCAGCAGGGGCCACGCGGCGCTCGGATTCTGTTCGGCTCCACCCGGAGCCGTTCGGCTCCTCCCAGCTCCTCCTGGTCTCGCTCGGCTCCGTTCGGCTCCTCCCGGTCTCACTCGGCTCCACTCGGCTCCTCCCGGCTCCTCCCGGTCTCGTTCGGCTCCTCCCAGCTCCTCCTGGTCTCGTTCGGCTCCTCCCGGCTCCGCCCAGCTCCTCCCGGTCGCGCTCGGCTCCGCTCGGCCCCCGGCCGTTCCCGCGCGGCCCCGCCCCGCGGTGACGCGCTCAGCGGGCGCCCGGCGGGAGCGCGGTGCCGGTGCCGCTCCCGCATCCACAGCCATGTTCCCGTCGACTCCCGCCCCGCCGCGGACCCCGGGCGGGTCGGCCCGCAGGCCCCTGGGCAGCGCCGCGCCCAGCCCTCTCTCCCGGCCCTGCGGCAAGAAGGGCCTGCCGGTCGTGGCGGCAGCCGCCTCCCCGGTGCTGTTCTCGCCGGCGGCGCGGAGGAGCGGCTCCCTCTCGGCGCGGTGAGTCCCGGCCCGGCCCGCTGTTGGGTGCCCGAGCCAGTGTGGGGTACATTATAGTTCTGTACACTGCACCACGTGTTCGGCGTTATGGATACCCCTTATTAGCTTTTGAATTCGCGGGTTCCGCAAATATGTCCCTGTGTGATACAAGTATGATATATGAAAATTCTAAGAACTTTCGTATTTATAAGGAAGATAAAATAGGCAAAGTTTAGGCATTTCACAGCCGCCCCTCTCCCCGGCTTCTTCCCCTGTCTTCTCCCTTCCATAGGGATCAAAACTGAGATAGTGCCTGAGCCAGTACTGATCAATTTCAGGCTTCATAATCTCTTTTCTTGGGAGCAGCTATTTGTTGTGTAGTTGAGATAAAGAGAATTGCCCATGTTCAGTTTTGGGGAACTTTTACTTCAAGCCTGCTTAATAATTTTTGCTAACTGGGTGCAAGGATTGTCCACTAGCTATGAATCAGCTTTTGCCATTTCACGCAGGGAGGTCTGAGACATCATTGTGAGGAGAAATAAAAGGAGGCGTTAACTTGTAAAAGCAGAGAAATTTGCCCACCTCATTGTGTTCAGAAGACAACACAGACATGGTGAATATCTTCATTCTGTAGATAACCAGAGTGTAGAGAAGTTGAACAGTGAGTTTGTTGCTGGTGGAGTAATGCATATTGAAAGTCTGTTCTTTAAAAATAAAGAATTTGATGACAGCTAGTGACTTGTAAGGAAGCCAGCAAGTTATTGCTGTAGGTGGTGTTCCCAGAGAAAGTATATTTATTTTACATAAATCTGTTTCTAAAGAGAGACTCATGAAGTAAATGTCTGCTGAAACTGATGAATAAATAATAAAAAGTTAACTGTAACTTTGTTTTGTTTAAGAGCAACTCCTACCAGAGTTATCCAGCTACCTACAGCAACTGAGACTATTAACTATGATGTTAAGGCTTTTGGATCCTCTCTGCCTGTTAAGGTTATGGAAGCCCTGAAGAAGGCTGATGGTAAGAACTGATGTTATTTTTCTCCATGAAAATTGACAGATGAGAGAATTCTTAATGTGTTGTTGATGCCATTGAAATGCTGATGTTACAGGGGAAGCTAAAATGTCTGTGCCTTGCTTTGAATCCAGCCTGGTTATCTATGTAACGATAATTATAATAATGCCCATATGGGTGTGAATCCATGATAATACCCTTCAGGTGCTGCTTATGCAATTAATTGTGAAAAAACAAAGGTATAAGGAAAGCTAATAGTAGATTTTTAGTAGCTTTTACTTATTGGTTCTTCCTTACCTTTCTTACTTGTTTTGATTTTGCTGTGTCCTAGAGTGGATGCTTAATATTTTTCTTTGTTTCAATTCCCATTTGTTATCTCTTCCAAGAGCCCTAGTGATGCAAACCTTTCCCTGAGGTCAAGAAATTGGTCTCCTGAACAATTTTTTCTCTGTGGATAAGTTTTTCCTTTATAGTAGATACAAGAGGAACCAAATATGTATGTTAAAAATAGTGTTAAAATTGTTGAGCGATTTACAAAGCTATTATAATCTACTCTAAATACATGGAAATGGGTTTTGGGGTTGTCTTCATTCTCAAAGGTTGAGGGTTTATCAAATGGATTTTTAAACTAGATGTAGTAATTTGATATGTTAATCACATAGATGGAAATTCTAACATGAAAACTAGTTTAATAGAAAATGTTTCTTATTTTCATGTAAGAATAAAAGTTTATTGGCTTAAACGTTACTCTACAGTGTTTTTAAAATCTGAATGCTTTAAAGAAGTTACTTTTTTATGTAGCTGATGACCAGCTGA